TGAATTATTATTCATTTTTTTGGCAAAGTTTTATAAACCCGACTTCGTCATATCATCATATCGTTATGTGACTACAAGGCTTGTACTTGACATCATGTTTTAATATATGTATACAAAAATGAATTATATATATATATATATATATATATATATATATATATATATATATGTATATATATATATATATATATATATATATATAGAGAGAGAGAGAGAGAGAGAGAAATTAGATTAAAATGTTTTCAATAAGTATTGTGTATCTCTAATAACCAATCAAAATAAAACAAAAATAAATTCAATAATAAATCATAAAAGGGTATAATAGTAATCTTGGTTATACCTAATTATGGTAAATATTTAAAACATTTAATATCCTTTAAATTGGGTGAATTTGTTAGTTAAATTAGATGTCTCGTTCATTAACATCACCAGAAAAACACCGACTTTGACCACAAACCTACATCCTTCAATTGCCGACCAAAAAACCTTAGTGGCAATCTTTACCGCCAGTCCTCCGCTAGTCGTTTCCATCACTCACATCATGGTTGATTTTCTATCTAGTGAACAGGGAGATTTGTGCAAACACAGTGACCTCGCAAAGCAAACAAACCAAGGAACCTACCCCTCTTCTTTAACTTGATGTAAGAATGAAGACACCAAAAACTAAAGACGAGGTATAGAGGTGTATTTGTGTGCGTATGAATATATATCAAGATCATCAAGAAGGATTTGTAATCGATCTTGAGCATCAACCAACATAAGTTGATTAATTCCACAGGTCTATTCCTTTCCTATTTAGTTTAAGGATTGTTAATGCTTCATAAATGGTGAAGTCTTATTTAGTTATAGTCCTAATACTCGACCTTCCAAGTTTTCTTTTTAAAAGACTGGATTAACATAAAACTTTGATTTTCTTGTTCCCTAAACTAGCATATAGCTTCATACTTAAACAACATCTGATTTTGCCTACCAGATGTTTGTTAAAATGCTTGAACCAAATATTTCATCCATTCATTTACACATGATGTCCACTCATAAGTGTTTATATCCATTTGAAAATTAGCCAATGTAGTTTTGTTAATATGGTTTGTGTTGGTCTAATTAGGTCTTTATTTTCTCTATTTTAGCTTTGCTTATGGTTAGTTATTCCATAAACATGAGAATTTAGTTTTATTTCTTTGAATTAATTTCATACTCTTTAAGAATAATCAAAATCATTCTGGGAGAATATTTACGATATCATTCTTGCAGAATAAACATATTTATTGATAACTATTAGACTCTAAGTAATATATTGTTAAAATAAAGTATATGTATTCGTATAGAATATTATGTACTGTATTCTGTTAGAATTTATCTGTATAAATGTATTATGTCAGAATGCCTTTAAGAATGTTTGTTAATAACAAGGATATTTGCTTAATTAGTAATACTAACAAGTAATGCATGTTATTCTTTCAGAATGACTTGAAGAAGGAATCAAATATTAATCACACAAGAGAAAGACTTGGAATCGAAATCAACAACTTGTATATTTGCGAAGAATTATATTATTACGATAACACATCACATTTTCGTAAGGATAGTTGGAATCAAGTGTATTATTTGGATCATTGAAGAAGATCAAGTGATTTTGTTCAATAATTGTATATTTAAGTATTCTATTTCTTAAGAAATTTACTCATTTTTGATGATATTATATTAGAATCTATGTAACTATATTAAAGTATATAAGGCTATTAGTCTCTAAGAATATGTATGAATTTGTATTTAATTTTGAATATATGAAGAATATGTAGAATTCTTAAATATGGTTAATTATCAAAAATATCTTAGTTGGAGCTATATTCTGTAAGAATAAAATCAGAAATATCGTTAATGGCTGACATTCTATCAGAATAATTTCGGTTTATTTTAAAAATTTACGTTAGAATAAAAGTTAAATTAATTTAAAAAATCTAGATTTTTAAAATTAAGAAAATTAGTTATCCCTAAAAATCTGAAAATTTCCATTTTTAATATAGGCTAATTGACTAAAATACCTTTATGTTGAAATTTGTGTTATTATATGGTATATGTTACCCTATTGTAATATCTTACACACTCAAATCATTATCATTGATTTATTCCATCCATTGGTCCAAATTTATGCATACGATCACACAATAGATGTTAGAAACACTTGAATATATATATATATATATATATATATATATATATATATATATATATATATATATATATATATATATATATATATATATATATATATATATGGGGATAGGGAATATACATTACAGCTTTATATAAGCTTGCGTACAAAACCCTATAAACGACATCGTTTGCTGCTTTACAATTAAAACCCCAATTTTGGGGAAAAAAACAAAACAAACACCGTGTTTGGGTGTGTGCGGTAATAAAAATCAGAAGTGACGAGGGAGGAGCTGAGACGAGGAGATGGGAGCGGATCGTAGGAGGAAACACAATTTGAGGTTATTTGTTGAAAGAAATTGAGATGCAGAGGGCATATCGAGCGTACATGGGTTGTCAATCCCACTGTGTTGTTGTGTAGTCAGCGGAACATAACTAAGAGGAGGGTAGTCGCTGATGGCGGCATCACTGATCACCAGAGAGGGAAATGACGATGCAAGCGATGCCGCCCAGCTGGAAATCGCCGGAAAAGGTGCGGGTTTTGGGTTCTCAAACTTCCTTCCTAACATAAAAGCTTCCTTTTTCTAATTTGTGGTTTTGATCCGCTAGGTCAGTAACGACGACATGACCTGGATTGAAGAAATTGTAACAATTTTGGCGAAAGAGGACTACATATGGTTGGGGAATGATTCAATAGTGAAGCTTTCTGATTTTTCCCCTTGATTCTTGTTCTATTTGCATCGATCTGGTATCCGTTGAAGTCTGTAATCGACAATTGAAATTTCAATGGCCACTTACCTTCATCGATTGAAGTCATTAATTATAAGCTGGGACAATTGATACAAAATTTTCTATCTGTGTGTCAATTCTCCCTTTGGAAAACATGGGTGCTTTCTCTATTTCAGTTAAGGAAAGTGAGAATTTTTTCAATTTATCATTATCAGCATTCTTGTTGCAGGTAATCTTTCAGGCTCTTCATTTCCTTTTACCCTTTTTTATGATGCTAATACATTTTGGCATTGTTTGAGATTGGGTAGGATAAAGAAAGACAATAATTATATCACAATTATGGTGGAATTGGGAAGTGGATGAAACATTGTATCAAGGATGGAAACAACTTATTAAGGATCTTAGTGCCAAACGTATTAAAGTCATGATATATTGCAATCCTTGTTTAGCTCCAGTAAGTAATCATTTTCTTTATCAAAAACACTTGTAAGGGCATTCATGTCTCCTGAAGATTTTAATTGATATATATATTAGATGGATAGAAATCCAGATGCAAGGAGAAAACTATTTTAAGAGGCAAAGAAGTTGGACATTTTAGTAAAAGACAAGTTTGACGTTTTACCATGATTATTGTATTTTAAGGAATTATCATACAAAGATTTTTATTGCTAACATTTAGCTATTTTGTTGGTCTTAATGAATGGGTTCCATGTGGATATAAGTTTCTCCAGTAATTTACATATGAAGGTTACAATTTTCTCAAAACCTCATTGATTTTTTTGCAGGTCATTGTTATGGTAGATAATCTACGGTTCGGTTCAAGAGGAAGGGTAAAAAGGGAAAACAATCCTTACCAATGACCAATATGGGCAACAGAGGTAATTTGGGGACTACTATGAAACTCAAGGCAGGAAGGGTAAAAAGGGAAAATAGTCATCGTTGGGTTTAATGTTCATCACTCTTGTTTGGTAGATTTATAAGTTTATTGTCATTAATTGTAATTAGTTGTAACGATTTGGTAACTTTATATATGGTGCTGTCATATTTTTGGCATTTTTTGTTCCGGTTTGTAATATGCACATTCCCGACCATTGGTTGGGTTTTTTTTTTTTTATTATTATTATAATAACATTCTTATTTTAAATCTAAAAAAGAATATGTTGATTCGTAGAAGCAGTCTACTGTTTCATTATACCTATTAACAACATTATACTTGAATCAATTTTCTTTTTAACAAAATAATACTTTCAACAATAGGATTGTACTTTCATTTTGTACACATAATAGCATCGTACTTTCAGTTTTTAAACATAATATCTGCGTACTTTCATTTTTTACACATAATACCCCCGTACTTCCCTTTTTACACGTAATAACATCGTACTTTCAGTTTTTATACATAATACCCCATACTTTCATTTTTTACACATAATTGCATCGTAATTTCATTTTTTACACATAATACCCCCATACTTTTGTTTTCTACACATAATAGCATCGTACTTTCATTTTTTACACATAATACCCCCGTACTTCTGTTTTTTACAAATAATACCCCCATACTTTCGTTTTCTACATATAATAGAACCGTACTTTCACTTTTTACACATAATACCCCTGTATTTTCATTTTTTTACACACAATAGCATCGTACTTTCATTTTTTACACATTATACCCCCGTACTTCTGTTTTTTTACAAATAATACCCCCATACTTTCGTTTTCTACACATAATAGAACCGTACTTTCACTTTTTACACATAATACCCCCGTATTTTCATTTTTTACACATAATAGCATCGTACTTTCATTTTTAGACATAATAACATCATACTTTCATTTTTTACACCTAATGCCCCCGTACTTTCTTTTTTTACACATAATAGCAGTAACCATTCAACATTTTCATTCCAGAATAGCAACGTACATGATTTATGTCCAAAACTGGAAAAAAAAGACAAGTACTTAAAACTAAAAAAAAGTACGCTTAACCTAAGCTAGAAAAATGAGTAGAATTAACCAAAATCATAGCAACTACATATCCCATCAATGTTTCTCTTGCAACGATTCATCTACTTGATACATGAAAATATAAATGGATTATTATATAAATATAAGAACTACAAAATCATGACAAAGTAAGTTACTACTATACGCACCTTTCTTTTAGAACAACTAGTAGCATAATGACCTAATCCTTGACAATTAGAGCATGTTCGTTTTTTTGGCACTTCTAAAGAAGACTTGATTCTACTAGCAATTTTAGGACACCCTTTCGTGTTGGTTGGAGCAAGAGGATCCCCGAAAAATAATTGAGGCATTATATCGACTTGTGAAATTCTCACACAAGAACCTTGAGATACGTTCTCAACTGGTAAAGGTTTTTTCTGTATTGCTTGATCTTGTAATAGCTTTATCAATACGTTATTGACATTTTCTATTTCTGAAGGGGAGTCTTTTGCTTGTTCAATTACTTTATTAAAATCTGAATGAACACACCATAAAGTGTAAGCACTAACCCCATTTCCGTTATTCATTTCTTCGAGTCCGATACTACGTTTACCCACCTTGTACCTAGCATTAAGGGTCCACCTAGGTAAAATGTAGTGACTCGGAAGTGTGTTAACATGCCTTTCTTCATCACATATAAGATATGTTTACATAAAATCCCACAAGTCTCATACTTAGCATAAGAACATGTGACATGGATCTTATTTGACAAATAAAAGGTAACAGTCCGCCAATATTTTTTTGTCAATGTCCAATTGTCCAACTCGATACTTGATTTCTTTTGTACTTTTGCTTATAGTCTCATGCGTTAAATTGCTAGTAGCTTCCATCCATTATTTTTTGAAAATCTCAAATACCTTTCTAGTATAACACTCACCTGCTTTTGCTTCGATTGGATGTTTTGAGGAAAGAACTGGCCTCGAGTTCATAGTCTTGAAATTTTCATCTTCTTCGGCGGCCCTTCGTGAAGTAACTGCTTTGTCATATTGCACTAAAAAGTCATTCAACATGGTACTCGAGTTAACAAAATCATCAAAAAATGAATTAATACTCTCACTTCGTCCACTTGTTGGCATACCGGCCAAGAAAATATCCTTTAAGAAGGCTTTAGCCCAATGTACTTGTTGGTTATACATACCAGTTATCCAACAATTGCTTTCAAGTTTATACTTATCACGTATAACTTCCCACCTAGTTTCAAATTCTTCAATTGTGTCACTCATTACCCATTCTTTATATGATTCTTGAAAATCACTATAACGAGCAACATATGTTGAAGGTGCTCTAATTCATGTTTTTTTTATATGCCATGCACAAAAGCGATGTCGAGCGTTTGGAAACACTTTTTTTTTATTGCATTACCCATAGCTTTGTCTTGATCAGTAATAATAGCCTTTGGGTACTTGCTAAACATACATTTAAGGAAATTCTCAAACAACCATACAAAAGTTTCTTCCTTTTCGTTTTCTAGCAACGCTCCACCAAAAAGTACAGACTGTCCATGATGGTTCACCCCAGTAAATGGAGCAAAAGGCATCTTGAATTTATTTGTCATGTAAGTCACATCAAAGGCAACAACATCTCCAAATTTAGTAAAATCATCTCTTGATCTTCCATCAGCCCAAAAAATATTTCTAGGACAGCCATCACTGTACAAATCCACAACATAATACAGATCATTATCCACTAAGGCTTTATCTTGTAAATGTTTTATTAGTCCATAAAACTCCCTTCCTTTGTTGTGTTTTCGTTGCTCAGATAATACATCAACACATTGTTTTGAAGTAACATCAACTTCATTTGAGGTTTTCATTGCATTAATAGCCTTTTTAATTTGAGAAGGTTTCAACCTGCTTGATTAAGTTCCACCATGAGAGATTTACATTCCATTGTACGGTGGAACTTCGCATGAGACTGATGCTTCATCACTTTTGTTGGTGTCATGCTCAATTCGTGATTGTGTGTGTCATTAAACAAGTAACAAACCATTTCCCATCTTTCTTTTTTGAAATTCGAAACATTGCTTTGCATCCGATTCTAACTTCTCTACGACGTTTTTTCTCGTTTCCAATTGATGTATTACCATCCTCCCATTTAAAACCCTCTTTATCGTATACAAGTGTTTTTCGATAAGGTTCATTTGTTCCCTTATTTTTGCATGTGGTATGAATACGTATACCATATCCATGTACAAATGCATAATCATTATAAAAGTTATATGCATCATCAGTTGTATCGAAAACCTTTCCTAAAATACTTTCATTGTTCAGTCCATCTTCCTCACATTCACCATTTGCATCTTTTATTTCTTCAGTTTCATATGTTGCTTCTAACAAATCATTTGCATCAACATCTTCAGTTGTATGTGCTTCGATATTCCCATTTGCTTCGGTTTCAGACATCATTCACTATACATTACATCCAACAATAATCAAGAATTAGAAAATATGATTTACCAACTAAGATATTTACAAAATGATAGTTTGCTTATTAGAAAAAATAAATAACCAACAACAATGACAAAATCAATAATTAATATAAAATAAAATAGCATAGTGAATAGAACGAAATAGAGGCCAAGTTCGGTAATTTATTGGCAATTTCAATTACAAATTGATAGCACAGTAAGTGGGAAACAACATGAACGGATGCAAGCAAAGTTCATAATTCTTTTTTCATCATTCACCAACATTTAGAAAAAATAATTCAAGATGTATCATGAAATTTTACAAAATTTTTTTACCTTTTTTCAGAAACCAGTAAACAGCAGGTAACGAGTTGAATATGGTGTAGAAAATTTGAGCAATAATAAATGAGAATGAACAACCAGTCAACAAAAATCGAGAACCATACAAAAATCGCTTTACAAATTCTACTAGCAGCAAAATTCGGTAATCAATGGGCAATTTCAATTACAAATTGATAATGCAGTGAGTGGGAAACAACATGAACGATTGCCAATTTCTACCCTTTGTATGTTGTGCGATTTCAAACATGCCAATTCCAATTGCAAATACGATGATTTTTTTTTCAATTAACCTACATGATCGATTTCTTGAAGTAAGAAATCCTCCAATACCGAAAATAGAGGAAACAATCAATTTTAGAATATTACCATGATGGAAAAGAAAAACAATCGTGTGTTGTAATTAGCCCAAAACGATACAGTTTAATTGGTTATGTATATAAGCTTAGGTAGGACTATAATGTATATTTCATTTTCCATATATATATATATATATATATATATATATATATATATATATATATATATATAATTTTCACATTAAGTCACGCCTTACAAATGATATGACTCATCATGGTTCGTAAAAACTCAAGGTTTCACATCGTCTTTAAGTCACACCTCATATTATTTAAAATCATGTTTTTTGGTATTATATAGTCTATAATTCTGCTGTAACACTTTGGTACTCAAGTTTTATTTTATTTTTTTTATTTTTAAAGAGAGGAAAGAAAAGGAAAGTACAACAAAGAAAATAAAATTATTTTATATTTGTTTTCTTAAGCCTGATTTTTTTTTTTTTTTTTTTTTTGACAATTTTCAACATATTTTAGCGGTATAAAACGATAAAAATATGATAATTTTATAATTGCTATTATGATAATTGCTAAATTAATGTAAAAATAAAAGCCATAATTGGCATAATTGCTATTATGATATTAATGTAAAAATGTGTTTTACGTTATCTAAAAAAACTGAAAAAAAGATAATTGATTAGTTGCTATATGAAATAGGCCATGCAAACCCAACTACAAGCTAAAGCCCAAATGTTTTATATCGTATTTGCGGGTTTAGGCCCAAAAAACAAATAGGGTAAAAAAGACATTTCCGTCGCATGCAAAACCCTAGCATATGCCCCTTTTAATTTTCCTTTTCATGCCGCACTGATTCACAACACAGAGACTCCCTCGCCGAACCCTTAGACGCCGCCGCCGTCTCTCTCGCTTCTTCAAAGATGCCGCCGAAGTTCGATCCGTCACAAGTCGTCGACGTCTATGTCCGCGTCACCGGAGGTGAGGTCGGGGCAGCGAGTTCACTCGCTCCTAAGATTGGACCACTCGGTCTCTCTCCAAAGAAGATCGGAGAAGACATTGCAAAGGAAACCGCAAAGGACTGGAAGGGTCTCAGAGTTACAGTCAAGCTTACTGTTCAGAATCGTCAGGCTAAGGTATCCGTCGTCCCATCCGCCGCCGCTCTGGTGATTAAAGCTCTCAAGGAACCAGAGCGTGATCGTAAGAAGGTGAAGAACATCAAGCACAGCGGCAACATTTCTCTCGATGACGTGATTGAAATCGCGAAGGTTATGCGTCCGAGGTCAATGGCTAAGGAGTTGCAAGGAACTGTGAAGGAGATTCTCGGAACTTGTGTTTCTGTTGGTTGTACGGTTGACGGAAAAGATCCGAAGGATTTGCAGCAGGAAATAGCTGATGGTGATGTTGAGATTCCTCAGGATTGATCGAGGTTCTCTTCGTATTCAATTGAAAAAGTATGTTAGTTCTTCTGTTATTGTCTGTTGTTTTGATATTTTGAGAATTTTTATCGAGCTTTACTTCTATCTTATCACCATTTTCATTAGTGAATATGGAGACTTTTTGGCAAAATGTTCAATTTTGATTTCGAATCATACCATTGTCTCTTTAGTTATTCTGATCTTCTCTGTGAGTGATATATTCCAGCATAGTCTACTTGCTCTGAACATGATTCTATTAAAGTACGAACAACCTTTTGCATCATGTCAGGGATAAATAACATCACTGGTCATTGTTTAATCCCCTTTCGTTGAATGGTAATAATTCATCTTTGAATATCTATTGAGGAATGCACATTCTTGGAAATCTGTGTTCTTATTTGCTGCAGTCTACTGTCTCCTTTCTCATGCATTTTAGGGTTATGTTTTGATCAATATCTTGAACATTATTGAATTATTAGCATGTGGTGATTGGTGATGATATTGTTTCTGATTTGTATCTTTGATTCATCTTCAAAACCCTCAAATCTAAACAAAGAATTTTATGAGCTTTTAGCAACAAAAGTGAAATCTCTAACCAAAACCAAGAAAACACAACTGATTTTGAAGCATTAACTCATTGTTGTTTGCTAAAGAAAAGCATGGGTTAGTTATACCTTTGGGTTTTTGATTTTTTTCGTTTTAAACAATCCATTTTTAAGAAAATAGCTTACTTTTTTCCATTTTTTGTTTTAGTTTTTTAACAGGGTTGCTGATTTTATTTTTCCAAAAAAAAACCCAAACATTTGACAACTTTTTTTGTTCATAATTTATATTTGTTGTTGTTTTTACTGTTATTCATGGTTTAAGGTATTAAAGTATGTTTAATTTTTACTCCAAAAATGCCGACTAAAATCTTTGGTATGATGGTGAGAGTTGGGGTCTAAGCTAGTTTGGCATCTTAAGGTGGTTTTTAGAAAGAAAAATGGTTTAGGAGGGTAATGTAATATCGTTTTTGTTCATATTTGATCATTTTTTTTTTGTATATTATTTATCATTGAATTTGTTTTAGGTGTTCAAAAAATACCATTATGACTGCTATTGTAGGTTTACCTAAACATATGAATTTTCTTGTGACTATGATTTATCGGTAAAAATATGAAATTTGTATGAATGTATGAATTTTCCGATGAATCTGAAAAAACAAGATGGTGTGTGTTGGAAATCGTTTGAGGTTGTTCCATCTGGTTTGGTTTTTGATTTCTAGGGTTTCAGAAATCATGTCAAGAACAAGAACATGAACTTAGATAACATACATGAACACAAAAATTTAGATCCAAAAATTCGTGTTGAAGATAAAAAGAACTCAAACAAAAAAAGCAAAACACTTGAAGTCTAGCGATCATTCATCTTTTTTGAAGCTCCTACTTGAAAGAGAATTTCAAATGTGTTTTCAAGACTCAAGAACATTAAAAGGAAAACTCAAACCCTTGGATTTCAAGGGTTTCATTTATGGGTTTTCAAGAACAATAAGAAGCGTTTGATCTTTGTATAGGTTAAAAGGTGTTTGTTAATGGAACTTTGATTTTTGGTTTTGTTCCTGAAAAATACGAACAAGATGTTGAATTTTGCTTTGATTTTTGATTAACACAAACATTAAAATCGTTTTCAGAAACAATCGAACAAGATGAAGATGAACACTACAATTGTTCTAGATTTGAAATCGTTTTAAATCTGAAAATTTTGTTCTTACAATCGTTTATGTAATTGTTTGGACAAATGAAAGCTAGAACACCCCAACATGTTTAAGCCTCTTAAACAAAACATAGTTCTTCTTCATCTAAATTTTGTCGGAGATTGGCCGGAAACTTATATTGGCCGGAAAATTGCCGGAGAAGACGATCAGAGATGACAAACTCGCTGGAAACCTTCAATACCCGGTAACAATAATATTTTTTGACCATCAAAACAAGTTCAACGGTAAATTGTCTAAAAAAAGTGACAAAATGAGAACAAAAACGATAGTTTGTTATCATTCCGAGTCAATTTTCTTTTTTAAAACTAAAGAAAAAAAAAATATTATATGTTCAAAATCTATTTTTAGTTTCATGTTATTTGTGATATCCATAATAATCATAGTAGATTTCTTTTGGACTCATTTTTACAACAATTATAACATAGTAAACTTTTTAGACATTGCAATATACTAAATATTAAAGATGCTAAACCACGAGTTAGCAAACACAAGAACTTCGGTCTCCAAATCAACATATAGTTTTATGTTTTAGTGAAGTTTTTGCATACACCAAATTAGAGAAAGAAGGTTCTCTGTATGTTAGGCTGGAAGGAGTGGATACGGGAGGGAGGACGGAGTTCTTCTCGCTCACGGGAACACCGTACTGCCAGTGAGGGAAAGTGGGTGGGGGAGGGGCTGCCACACCCTCTCTCTCTACACACACACACACACACACACAAATATATATATATATATATATATATATATATATATATATATATATATATATATATATATATATATATATATATATATATATTCTTTCCCCCCTCTATAAATACCAACCCAGCCAAACATTATTTTTAAGCCATTTCATCATATTCTCTCTAAAGAGAACAATAATATACAATGTACTCATCTTCGTCATTTGATTCGACGACTCAAGAGGATGTAATGTTTATCGGTTCCATCATGGCGATGACCATTGCATACTTTCAAAACTGACGAAACCAAACTTCACGTCCACGATCTAAAACAAGAAAACCGTTGATAATGAGAAATCACGAAGCCGAACATGATCATTTTATAGAATACTATTTTGCAGATGATGCCGTGTACGCTGAAAAGTTTCGACGACGGTTCTGCATGAGGAAGAAGCTATTCTTACGTATTGTTGGCGATTTGGAAGACCGTTTTCCATCTTTCAAATGGAAGATGGATGCAAGAGGTAAAAAAGGTTTATCTCAAATTCAAAAATGCATAGCCATAATTTGTCAGTTAGCATACGACATGGGCACAGACAAATGAGACGAGTATTTTAAGATGTCCGAACGTACATGAGTGTGGTTACAAGTTCTGCAAAGTTATTACTTTGGTTTACGGGCAACAATATTTACGCAAATCAACTATCATCGATGTTCATCAGTTGTACACGGTGCATGAAGGCAAGCATATGTTCACAAGAATGCTAGGTAACATCGATTGCATGCATTGGGCTTGGCCATTATGCCCCAATGTGTGGCGTGGTAAGTACATGCGATGCGACCACAACGAGTCGACAATCATTCTAGAAGTAATCGCATCACATGATCTTTGGATATGACATGCATTCTTTGGTCCAGCTGGTGCAAACAACGACATCAATGTTCTAGTCGAGTCACCGGTATTCAACGATATCTACCTTGGAAAGTCGCACGATGCACATTTTTAAGCAAATGAGGTAGCATATAAGAGCGGGTACTATCTTATTTACGGTATATATCCTCCCTTATCTATTTTTGTGAAATCATTTACATGTCCGAACGACGAAAAAAGAATAAAGTTTAAAGAGGCACAAGAGTCAGCTAGAAACGACGTGGAACGAACATTTGGTGTACTCAAAAGGCGTTGACAAGTACTAGCAGTCGAGATATAGTCATATGAAGTGAGAACGTTGCAACACATAATGTATGCATGCATCGTATTGCATAATCTGATTCTTAAAGACGAAGGAAGAGCGATATGTCGATACAACGAAAACGAAGTTTTGCCAAATATCGAAGGAGTAGCCATTTGTATGCAGGAGTATAGGAAAATAGAAGAGAAGTACACAATCGCGATATTCATCACGCCTTCCGTGCTGATTTGGTGGAGCACATTTACAGGGCTCCTATTCAGCCGCCGACAGAGTATTGGCATGGTGATTTGTTTGACGAATTAGATGATGATTCGGATATGTTCATCGAGAGCGAGGATTCTGATGATAATGACGAGAATGACGTTGATCAGAATGGCGATGACGATGATGTCAATGACAAGGATGGTGATTGCGAGTGATGTATTTTGGTTTTTTAAAACTTCCGATATTAATTATGTTTTCTAGGTTGTGGTTTTTTAATATTTGTTGTTTTCTAGTGTTTTTGTATTATTTTTAATATTGCCTAGTTTAATGTATCTTTTTATGTAATTTTTAATTAATGAATTGGTTTTTAATTTTAGTTATTTTTTATGTTTATTATTCATTTAAAAAATTATAAATCATCAAAATCAATTATTTTTATTAAAAAAAACAAAGGGTGAAGGAAGCTTCTCGTACACACCTTAGCTTTTGGTGAGGGAAAAGAAAGTGGGGAAAAAGATAACGTGACAGAGAAAAAGTGAGGGGAGTTTCCCACACACACCTTCCGACCTTAAGACCGGACGATGTGCTGGGGAAAGGAGTGAGGGAAAACTTCCTCATCATAGAACGCCATACCATGGGTGAGGGAAAATGAGTGAGTGAGTCTATCCCCCATTCTCTCTCCTCGTGTGATTGATCAGTTTTATTTAATAGCTTTTTTAATATATATTGAATTATATACCTATTAAAAAATTATAATATATATATATATATATATATATATATATATATATATATATTAAAATTCATGGTTTTTAATTCCATACAAAATAATATTTGTATGAAATATTTTTTTTTTGAAAAAATAAAAAAAAAATGAACGATTTTTCCCACACACACCCTAACTTTTGGTGAATGATAGAAAAGTAGGGGAAAAATGACGTGACAAACAAAAAATGAGGAAAACTTTCCACACACCCTCGGGTCTAAAAGAAGGTTATATTTATGATCGTTTAAAACTGCATAAACACTAAAGATAGTAATACCGATGTTGTGAACATTATTTTATGTACAAAGCAGATATGTTAAAAAAAAGGAAAATGAATTTGTAAAAAAGAAGAGTAAGTTACACGAATGGTCCCTGTAATTTAGGGTAATTTGTGCGTTTAGTCATTA